TGGCCCCGGTGGCTCCCTGCCCCCCCCAGGACCTGGCTGGGTTCTTCCCCGGCCCCGCCTGGGGACCACGAGGGTTCCCTGACAGTCTCCCCCTCCCAGCTTCTGATGAAACCCGAGGAGAGCCCCAAATGAAAACCAGACTCTTGATTTTCCTTTTCACCCTACCGAGGCCCTGGGGTTGTTGCTCCTTTTTTTATTAAAGGAGGTGGGGAGTCTCAGGGTGTTTAAAAAAAAAGAACAATGTGCCTGTTAAGATTCAGCCTGCCTTGGGGAAAGTTTATTTCTCTGTGATGGGAGAAAAAAAACATGTTTATATTTTTAGTGGCCTGGATGAAGCCATTTTGGAAGAGTGTCTGCAGCATTTGGAGAAGCAGCTGGAAAGCAGCCAGGCCCGGAAATCCATGGAAGAGTTTTTCTCCGAGAGGTGAGACACTGTTCTTTTCCTGGTAGTGACGTCATGCTGTTACCGTTTTCTGGTTGTGGGGTTTTGTTTTTGTTTTAAAGAACTTTTCTCTCAGAAGAGCATGGAGTTGATGAGACTCCAGTATAGGACCTTGAAATAGGTTGGACCCAAGCTGTTTTCATCATACTTTTTTTTGTTTGTTTTTTTTTGGTGGGGGTAAAAATCCCAGTGGGAGTAACACCCCTCTTGAAGCCTCAAGGATGTGATCCTGTAAAAGAAGGCTCTCTTCTCCCCCCCACCTGGCAATGGGTCACTTTCTAGATCTTAACAGGGATGGTACCATCAGGGCCCCTTCCACACCCGCAGGCCAGCGAGGCTAGGGTTAGGTGGGGCAGGGCGGGGGTGGATGTCCATCAGGAAAGCGTAGGGGGGCAGAGCAAGACGGGCAGATGGATGGTCCAGGAGAGAGAATGGTCCGTGGGCGCTCCTCTGCCGCCTCTGGCCCCAGAGGGAGCCGCCCCAGTCCGCCCAGCACAAGGGCCAGCCCTGTCTGACATTTCCCTTCTGATGCTGCTTTCCCACCAGCGGCGAACTGGTCCAGATCATGATGGCCACGGCGAACGAGAACCTGTCGGCCAAGTTCTGCAACCGAGTCCTGAAGTTCTTCACCAAGCTCTTCCAGCTGAGTGAGTAGGCCGCCTCCCTCTTTCATCCGTGGCTCCGGTTTCCCAGGGGTCACGACATTCACTGTTTTGATGTCAGCTTTCCATCCTGCCCGTCTTCTGCGTTGGAGGGGCTGATTTTGTACTGGGGGCTCTGCCGTGTGGTAAAATTGGAGGCAGAGGGAGAATGGGGCTGGATCCTTGGCCCCAGGGCCCTCCCCCCTTTTCCCTTCTGGGCAGGGTCATCTCTCAAGGCTCAGATTGAAACAGACAAGCATCTACTTGTCCCGGCCCCGAAGAGCATCCTCCTTGAGCGTGTTTGGTGGGTTCTCTTCCCCTCCGGGCTGCGTCGTAGCTCTCTCCTGAAGGCGGCCTTTTCAGGTCTGTGGTGGGCCACATGGGCCCCTCCAGCTGTGGTTTGATTCCAGCTCTGGAAAGTTCCCACTGAGCTATCCAGGGGTGAGGGAGCTGCCATTTAGCAACATCTGGAGGGCCCCACTGAGCTGTCCCCGGGACGTCCGTGGACTGCAAACCCCCACGCCCCTCCCAGACAGTCACTGGTGGGAGCTACTGTCTAATATTTGGAGGCCTGCGTGTGCTTAGATTCTTAATAAACTGATGTTCTGCCGTCTTAAAAAAATCCTCATTCCCTTAGTAGGGTAGCAAGAAAGGGCAACTGGGGGGGAAAAGCCACATCTGTCTATTCTAAATAACACACCCCTGCCCCGGTAAACTCTGCTGCCTGCCTGCCTGGTTGGCTAGGAGTTGGCTGGTCTCCTCTCCTCTGCATCGCACCCTTCTCCCTTTTTGTGCCCCCTCCAGCGGAGAAGAGCCCAAACCCCAGCCTCTTACGCCTGTGCGGCTCCTTGGCCCAGCTGGCCTGCATGGAGCCGGCCCGCCTCCAGGCCTGGCTGACCCGCATGACCACCTCCCCTCCCAAAGAGACGGACCAGCTGGAGGTGGTGCAGGAGAACCGGCAGCTGCTCCAGCTGCTGACCACCTACATCGTCCGGGAGAACAGGTGGGTGGCTGGCCGCGTCCGTGGCTCCGGTGGGCTTGTGAGGAAAGGGCCTAATGGTCCGTTAGGAGGGGCTCTCCTGGCCGAGGGAAGCCCGCCTGGCCCCTTCCCTGTTATCCTCACACCAGCAGGAAGAGCCAGCTCTCGACGCAGGTGGGCCTCGAACCTCTAGGCCGGGTTGTTTCTTTATTTTTGGAATATGTAGCGATCATGTGCGTTTTGGCCCTCGCGAGCCGCCTCTCGTGGCCCCCATTGCTCCTGAAAGAAAATTTATATCCTCAAGAAGCAACGCTTCTGTGTGGAGGAGCTGGGGGGCGAGTGAAGTGTTTTTCTCCACTCTTGGTTGGATCGGAGTGGCCCGGAGCATTGGCTGGTGCCCCATGTGGTGGGGAAAAACGGGGCCCAATCCGCGCTGAGTACCTTTCTCTTTCCCCTCCAGCCAAGTCGGCGAAGGTGCCTGCCTGGTCCTCCTGAGCACCTTGATCCCGATGGCCACGGAGATGCTGGCCAACGGGGATGGGGCCGGCTTCCCCGAGCTCATGGTGGTCATGGCCACCCTGGCCAGTGCCGGGCAAGGGGCCGGGCACCTCCAGCTTCACAGCGCGGCCCTTGATTGGCTGGGGAGATGGTAAGTGTGGGTCGCAGGAACGTTGGCAAACTGGGGAGGCTTTCCCTCCCCCTTGGGGAGGCACGAGGAGGGCGGGTTCTCCAGACTATTTGACTCCCAGCGGCTCCTGACCGGGGGGGGGGGAGGACAGGAGAAGGAAGAGCCAGAACGCCCAGGCCATCATGGTTCTTCCCTGTCAGGTGCCCAAGCTTTTATTTTATTTTTTGAAAGAAAGCCGTCCTTTTTCGTCCCCTCCCAGCAAAAAATACTTGTCTCAGAAGAATGTGATTGAGAAGATGAACGCCAACGTCATGCATGGAAAGGTAAGGTGGGAGGCGATCCCTTTGGTGAGGGCAAGCGAGGCTCCCTTCCCCGGCGACTTTTCCAATCTGTGGGGCAGAGCTGGAGAAGGGAAGGGGGGGGAGCCGGTCCCCTCCCGGGCCTGATCTCTGTGGCGGGTCCACCGGGCTTTCGTTTCACCTCTTGCGTGGGTTAAATCATGGCTCCAGGCAATGTCTGGTCCCTGACTGCCCCATTACGTGAGGCTGCAGCCCCCCCCCGAAGGACGGGCTCGAGCGGATTTTGAAGGTGGGGTGGGTGTCTCAGGCCGGAGAGAGAGGGGTGCGGGGGGGAGGCGCAGCTTTTGTGCCAAGGGTGGGTCTTTTCCGAGCACTAATAAAGTGGGTGAGTGGCCTTTTGCTTCTTGCAGCACGTGACCGTCCTGGAGTGTACGTGCCACATCGTCTCCTATCTGGCCGACGTCACCAATGCCCTGAGCCAGGCGGGGGGGCAGGGGGCCAGCCACCTCTCGGTGGACGGAGAGGAGCGGGCCATCGAGGTGGACTCGGACTGGGTGGAGGAGCTGGCAGTGGAGGACGAAGATTCGCAAGCGGAGGATTCGGTGGGTGACCTGGGGAGGGGGGCAGCGTCACAGAGGAGGCTGATAAGAGGCTAAGCCCTAGAGTCTTGAAGGCCTGGATGGGTGGTTGGGGTTTCAACTTCCTGCCTCTTTTGCTTTTCCGGGATGAGCAGAGGGAGGCCTTTTGTCTCTGGCAGCAAGAGGTCTCACCCTTTTTTCATCTGGTCTCACCGGCAGACCGGCTTTGTTCACTAGGGAATGGTGTCAAATGGCCTTAGGTTGCCGTTTCAGGAGATTTTTTTTTAAAAAAAAATATCTGTGGTAGAGCAAATTCTGATGTCTTAACACCCTTGAATTTAAAATGAAAAAATTATTTGTAGCTGATTTGTACGAAATTGGCTGCTTGTCAGTTTGGCACAGCCCTTAGCTCTCGCCAAACTGGCAATGGTGGCAACCCTGTATTTGTAATGTGCCCTTTTGGGAATTTTTGGGGCAGGGTGGCTGATTGGACGGAATGGTGCCTTCTTTAAAAACCAGTGGAAGGTCTGTTTCGGACCAAGAAGGGCCGAACTGTGTCAGCACCTTGACCTGCCATGGAGCGGTTGGGAGGCAACCCTGTATTTGTAATGTGCCCTTTTGGGAATTTTTGGGGCGGGGTGGCTGATTGGACGGAATGGTGCCTTCTTTAAAAACCGGTGGAAGGTCTGTTTCGAACCAAGAAGGGCTGATGTGCTGGTGGTGCTGCGGTTCCCCCAAGCAGAACTTGCATTATTTGCTCAACTGGAGAGCAAGATTGCTGTGGCTTTCGGGATAAAAGACTCTCCTTTCCCTCTCTCTCTCTCTCCTTGGACGGAATGGTGCCTTCTTTAAAAACCGGTGGAAGGTCTGTTTCGAACCAAGAAGGGCTGATGTGCTGGTGGTGCTGCGGTTCCCCCAAGCAGAACTTGCATTATTTGCTCAACTGGAGAGCAAGATTGCTGTGGCTTTCGGGATAAAAGACTCTCCTTTCCCTCTCTCTCTCTCTCCTTCTGTGTGGTGCTGGTGGTGTTGTGGTTCCTCCAAGCAGAACTTGCGTTATTTCCTCAACTGGAGAGCGAGATTGTCGTGGCTAAAAGACTCGCCTTTCTCTCTCTCTCTCCCTCTGTGTGGTTTGGCAGGATGAAGACTCGCTTTGCAACAAGCTCTGTACGTTTACCATCACCCAGAAGGAGTTCATGAACCAACACTGGTGAGTCGTATTTCTGCCTCTAAACCTACACAGGCACCCTCTTCCTCGCTGGTGTCCTGGCACCGGCCAGCATGCCAGTTCTCCTCCTGGCAAGCTGGCCTTGGAGCTGTCCACCACCCCAAGTCTGGGTCTCTCCCAGCAAAGGGGCCGGACGCGGTGATCCATGGGCTCCCTTCTGGCTCTGCGGTTCTGAGAGGGTGCCAGTCAGAGGTCGCCTCGCAGACATGCCCCCCTCCCTCCTCTTCTCAGGTACCACTGCCACACCTGCAAGATGGTGGACGGCGTGGGCGTCTGCACTGTCTGCGCCAAGGTCTGCCACAAAGATCACGAGATTTCCTACGCAAAGTACGGCTCCTTCTTTTGCGACTGCGGCGCCAAGGAAGACGGGAGCTGCCTGGTACGAGGGCCTCGGGCGTCTTCTCTCGGGGAAGGGAGGCGCCTCTGTACGGCCAACTCCCTGCGAGGGTTCTTGGGCGGGCAGGCGGCGGCTGCGTCTTTGCCTTGGGTCAGGCGTTAGCGCCCCCGAGAGGCAGCATCTGATCCGCGTCAACAGGCACAAGGCATAGCATTGCAACGTCCATATGCAGCCGTGTTTCCCAAGACCCCCAGGGTCTCTTGGACTATAACTCCCAGAAGCCATCCCTACCAAGGTTTCTGGGCATTGTCGTCCAGGAACGCCCGGGACCCCCAAGGTTGGGAAGCGCTGATGGTACGGCCTTGGACTGATAAGCCTGAGGGGGCAGGTCGTTCAGCCTGACCCAACCCTCCAGGGTGGCGAGATTTGGAGAGGGAGAGACCGAGCAAGACTCCCACCTCCTTCGCTCCACGGAGGGAGGGCAGGCAGGTTGGAAAGGAGCTGACCCCACCACGCACTTTGCCCATCTCCAGGCCTTGGTGAAGCGGACCCCCAGCAGCGGCATGAGCTCCACCCTGAAGGAATCGGCCTTCCAGAGCGAGCCCCGCGTGCCTGAGAGCGTCGCCCGCCACGCCAGCACCTCCCCCACCGACAAGCCCAAGGTCTCCATCAGTGACGGGCGAGGGCCGGACGAGGAGAAGCCCAAGAAGCGCAGCCTGTGCCGGAATGTGGAAGGATGCCGGGAGCAGCTGCAGTCCCAGGTAGGTTGGGAATAACACACTCCCCCCTCTCCCCCTCGTCCTGGCCGAGGCCTCGCCCGATCTCGGTTCGGACACTGGACGGGCAGGGCCTGGGTGGCTCCGTGGCTGAGGCTCATTGCCTTTCCCTCCTTGCTGTAGGCCAGCTTCTCCTTCGCCCCCTTGGTGCTGGACATGCTGAACTTCCTCATGGAAGCCATCCAGACCCACTTCCAGCAGGCCTCGGCCATGGGCAGCAGCCGCCGGGCCCAGCAGGCCCTCCATGAGCTGCACACGGTGGACAAGACGGTGGACATGACCGACCAGCTGATGGTAAGCGCGACAGGCTTCCCTGCTCCTTCGCGGGTCGGCGGGCAGCCGAGGAGGAGGAGGAGTCCACGGATGGGTGTATCTTGAAAGCTGGCGGGGAAGCCCACCAGAGGAACAGTGGCACCCCTGATTGTGTTCATTAGGTTTGGATTCCCTTTGTATTCCGTGTCCATCTCACCTTTCCTCTCTCAAGTCTCCTTCCTACCGTATCCTCACGACTGCCACTGCCTTTTAAGAGAGGCCCAAAGTCCCCCGATAACTTTCATGAGTGAACTGTGACACTGGATCCCAAGTCTCTTCTCCTAGATGGGCAGATCGAGACAGCACTCTTGGGTCTTGAAAACCTTCTGAGTGGTGTTTGTGTGAGACATTCTTTCCCCTCTCTGCCCCGTCTGCCACCCCCCACTTCAGGTGCCGACTCTGGGCTCCCAAGAAGGCGCCTTTGAGAACGTCCGGATGAACTACAGCGGCGACCAAGGCCAGACCATCCGGCAGCTGATCAGCGCCCACGTCCTGCGGCGGGTGGCCATGTGCGTGCTCTCCTCCCCCCATGGGCGCCGCCAGCACCTGGCCGTCAGCCACGAGAAGGGCAAGGTGAGGCAGGAGGAACAGAAAGGGGAGGAGAAAGGAAACCACCTTCCCTCCTGGGCAGCCGTTCTTTCGCTTACAATCATTATTCTGATTTTTTTTTTCTTCCCATGGGAGTAAAATTGTGGGAGTCGCTGCATCTCATTCGTGAAACACCCACCGTGTCATAGGAGGCACACCACCAACTCAAAACAGGCATTTTGTCCCTCGGCCACAGCGGCGTCTGCAATTTCTCCTTGATGCATTACATGCTGCTTTTATGTGTTGAAGCACATACCTTCAGGATACAGAAGGGCCCCTATGTCCGCAGGATTGGAACCCTTGTCCGTGGTCAGAAAATATTAAAGCCATCATATGAAAAAGCCCACCCCCCAAAATGCATATTTCCATGTTGTAACTAACCAGAACTGGCCATAGACAGAGCCAGAGACCATGTTATATTACTGGCCACTAGACAGAGCCAGAGACCATGTTATATCTAGGATTTGCTATGATCTGTGGTTTCCAGCATCTGCGGGGCAGGCGGGGTAGAAACTGATCCCCGGCAGATAAAGAGGTCCTGCGGTATTCCCATCTCTTGGACGTCTGCGGCCAAATGGGTTCTCTCTTTCCTGGGAGAAGCGGTCACCGCCGGTGCTTCCCGGCCCCTGTGCGAGCCTCGTCTTTCCTTCTGTCCCCCAGATCACCGTCCTGCAGCTTTCAGCTCTGCTCAAGCAAGCCGACTCCAGCAAGCGCAAGCTGACCCTCACCCGCCTGGCCTCGGCCCCCGTCCCCTTCACTGTGCTGAGCCTCACAGGGAACCCCTGCAAGGAGGATTACTTGGCCGTGTGTGGGCTAAAGGTATGGAGGCGGCCTGCCCCTCGCCTTCTGTGCCGCTGGGGGATTTCGAGCAGCCACTTCCAGGGCTTTGCACGTAACAGACCGGCCTTGTGATCGCATTGGGGGGGGCGGGGAAGAGGGAGAAGACTGTCTCAGGCACCCCAGAAGGTGCCAGTGAGAGGATCCAGGAGGCCCGATGTAGTTCCCGCCTTCTGTCTGTCTGTCTGTCTCTCCCCCCATGTACAACTAAAGTGGTCAGGCCTCGCTTGCCGAATCCCCAGGGCCAGCTGGTGTTTATTCATTCCGTCTCTTTTCTTTCCTCCCTCCCCTCAGGACTGCCACGTCCTGACGTTTGGCAGCTCCGGATCCGTCTCCGACCACTTGGTGCTCCACCCCCAGCTGGCCACGGGGAACTTCATCATCAAAGCCGTGTGGCTGCCAGGCTCGCAGACCGAGCTGGCCATCGTCACGGCGGACTTTGTGAAGGTGCAGCCAGGTCTTGGAGGGCGGGGCAGCCGTGGAGCGGGGCCCAGATCCCGACGCATGGCCTTCCTCTGAGCTGGCCAGAACGCTCTGGCTTCCATCATCTTTGAGGGGGGGGGGGTTTCTGGCATGTTGGGCGGGGGGAAGGTTTTGATGGCGAGGGTTGCTAGCCCTGAATCCCTAAGAGATGGGGAACCTCTTTCTCTCCCAAGACCCCGCATGGCCTTGGCAAAGTTTTGGGGAGCAGGTTGAGTCCCAGCACACAAGGGGTCGGGCCATCCCCCCCCCCCGTGTGTTTTCTCTTAAAGCTCCCGTGTCTGCATCCTCATTTGCTCCCCTGGCCCTACCCGAAATCGCTCACACCGCGTCGCTCTTCCCCGCCAGATCTATGACCTCTCAGTGGATGCCTTGAGCCCGACCTTCTACTTCCTTCTCCCGAGCTCCAAGATCCGGGACATCGCCTTCCTGTTCAATGAAGAAGGCAAGAACATTGTGGTCATCATGTCGTCTGCCGGCTACATCTACACGCAGCTGATGGAGGAGGCCAGCAGCGCCCAGCACGGGCCCTTCTACGTTACCAACGTCCTGGAGATCAGCCACGAGGACCTGAAGGTGAGGCGGTCGCTCCCTCCAGCCGGTTCAGCTTGAGGGAGAATAAACGGCGCGCAGAATGGGACCGGACGGCTCCCTTTCCCGGCCGCTTGGTGTGTGCGCGCTTCCTTTCCCTCACTCTCTGCCTCGGTCCTTGCAGGACAGCAACGGGCAGGTGGCTGGGGGCGGCGTCTCCGTCTATTACTCCCACGTCCTCCAGATGCTGTTCTTCAGTTACTGCCAGGGCAGATCCTTCGCCGCCACTCTCAACCGAGCTTCCTTGGAGGTGATGCGCCTCTTCCCCATCAGCATCAAGAGGTGAGCCTGCGCCCCCCCCCCAAACCTTCCCCTGCCTGCCACCCGGATGCTCTCATGATCCCCGGTGGTGCAGAGCTTCAGAAGCGGCCGGTTTTGAAGCTCTACAACCCAGCTGATCAGAGGGCCTCCAGGATGACTTTGAAAGTCTCAGGCCTGTGTCGCTGAACGCCTTCCCTGACTCCTTGTAGCTCCAACGGTGGCAGCAAGACCTCTCCTGCCCTCTGCCAGTGGTCCGAAGTCATGAACCACCCAGGGCTGGTGTGCTGTGTCCAGCAGACGACCGGCGTGCCTTTGGTCATGATGGTGAAGCCGGACACTTTCCTGATCCAGGAGATCAAAACCTTGCCAGCGAAAGCAAAGGTAAGGGCTCGGCAGAATCCCCTTCTTTGTGGAAACACCACCACCCCCACCTGCTGGGGTGTCGAGGAGGGTCCGGAATCCTTGCACACAGGAAGCCGATGAGGAAGAACCAGAACGCGAGCAGGGTGGGATCCGTAGAAACCCGTCGGGATACGTAGATTGCAGAGAAGATGCATCCGGCGCAGCACAGAACAAGCCGGGCGTCCTGAAGGTGGTCCCTGGGTTTTGGTTCATCTCAGCTCAGGAGATTTGACTCGAGGCTGACATGGGTAGCAGAGTGGGCTTTTCGTTTGGGGCGTTTTCGCGCCATGGAGACACAGAGGGAAGGGGGCTGGAAGACGTCATGTTGGGCGTTGTCCGTTTCTGGGCTCCAGATCCAGGACATGGTGGCCATCCGCCACACGGCCTGCAACGAGCAGCAGCGGACCACCATGATCCTGCTGTGCGAGGACGGCAGCCTGAGGATCTACATGGCCAACGTGGAGAACACCTCGTACTGGCTCCAGCCCGCCCTGCAGCCCAGCAGCGCCATTGGCATCCTGAAGCCCGTCCGGAAGCGCAAAGCGGCCGCCATCAGTAAGTCAATGCAAGGTCAGGTTGCCTGGGCATGGGGGGGTGGGTGTGGGTGCGGTTGTGCGTGGGTGCTCCTCTCCTGTCACATCGGGGTTGGGGGTGATGCCCTTAACATGGCTCTAATCTGGTGTAGTGGAGCGAGTGACGGTTTAGGACTCTGGAGACCAGGGTTTGAATCCCTGCTCAGGCATGGAGCGGAACGGGTCAGGCCACTCCTCCGATACCTCCCTGGCCTTGAAAAAGGCCCTGTTCTGGCTTGCTAGAAGTCAGCTCCGGCTTGACAGCAAATGATGACAACAATAGAGTTGTGCTGTTGTCATTGTCAGCATCGTTGTTTGAAAAAGGGGTGATCGAGTAAAGGCCATTTCATTCCTGTTATAACCCGTGAGGTCATCTTTCCGGTGTCGAGGGACTCCTTCGATTGGGGTCTGCGGGTGTCATTTGTGATTTTAGGTGTCTGAAATGTATGGTTATAGATATTTGGATAGAAATCAGATTGTTGTTGTTATTTGGAGTGGTACAATAGGACACGCACAAACACACGAGCTCCATCTGCGGGATTAGGATCTGCAGATTCACTGCCTGAAAATATTAAATAAGAAATCCTGAAAATACATCCTTCTCTGTATTGCGACTGAACTCCTGAATTCAGCTTTAAAAGATTGTGAGTTCAATGGAGACTAGAAAGTTCCGGTCAGCTAGAAAGAAAGCCGGTTCAGGACGGAAGGGCCAGGAGGTGGGGAATTTCCCCACTGGCATTTGGCTGTCTTTGAGGCAGGAGGTCTCCACCTGGAGCCTTTTGGAAAAGGTGGGCAGTGGTTTAGAGAGGAGGGAAGGAGCTGCCTGGGGGCAGACTCTGAAGCGTAAGGCGCAAGGGCTGGCAGGGTCGGAGAGCGGAAGACCTTTCCCTGCCCCGTGGCTGCTCAAAGTGGGGCACTTATCAGGCGAGGGAAGGCGGCCGCTGTAACTGAGCACCCCAAACGCTGCTCAGAGACACGAGGATTTGAGGTCAGAGCTCTGAGCGCTCGGTACTCGGAGCCCTCTGGGTGGGCTGTTCTCATCCCAGAACTAAAGAAGGAGTAAACCAGGATCCTGCCACCACCACCCCCCGCCTGCCCATCGGTGCCCAAGCTCTCACGGGGCTTGTCTCCTCTCCCTCTTCCAGCCACCCGCACCTCCACCCAGGTGAACTTCCCCATTGACTTCTTCGAGCACAACCAGCAGCTGACCGACGTGGAGTTTGGGGGCAACGACCTCCTGCAGGTCTACAACGCTCAGCAGATCAAGCACCGGCTCAACTCCACCGGGATGTACGTGGCCAACACCAAGGTAAGTGGGCCGCGAGAGGTGGGCCTGTGGGACTGACCCCGCCAGAGAGAGGGGATGGCTTGACCAGGGAAGGGCGGAGAAGCCCTTTCGGCTGGGTGCCTGGGGAGGGCCTGGGGGGGGTTACGCTGTGAACCCTCGGAGGGCTGGGACCTCCCACCCGCGTTGTCCAGGGTGAGGTGGTTGTTTAAGACCACCACCCTCCTCCCCATGCACTTTCTTTTTGTCCTGATGGACCGCCGCTGTCCCTGTTGTGCTGCAGCCTGGCGGCTTCACCATCGAGGTGACCAACAACAACAGCACTATGGTGATGACCGGCATGCGGGTCCAGATCGGCACCCAAGCCATCGAGCGAGCCCCTTCCTACCTCGAGATCTTTGGCCGCACCATGCAGCTGAACCTGAGCCGGCCCCGGTGGTTCGACTTCCCCTTCACCCGAGAGGAAGCCCTGCAGGCGGACAAGAAGCTGACCATCTTCGGTAGCTTTTCCATAACCTTTCCCCGTTTCTTACAAAACACAGCAATGTAATTCCTTCCTTCCTTCCTTCCCTTCCTGTTCTTGATTTGGTCTCACACACTGCCCGTTTTCACCTGCAGTTGGAGCATCCGTGGATCCTGCGGGCGTCACCATGCTGGACGCCGTCAAGATCTACGGCAAAACGAAAGAGCAATTTGGCTGGCCAGATGAGCCCCCCGAAGATTTCCCGTCGGCCTCTGTAAGCAACGTCTGCCCCCCAAATCAGAACCAGGGAAATGGGACGGGAGACACGGAGTCGGCCACCCCGGCGGTTGCAAGCGGCACTGTGCTTGAGAGGTACGTTTTTTTCAGAACGCCATCCACTTTCCTGCTTTTTTTTTTCATTTGAAGTCCTTGCTTCCTACTCTTAATAGGGACTAGAAACGTACCTAGTAGGGGGAGGAGATGAAATGGAAATCTGGGATTCATAAGAAGATGAATTCTGGACTCACTGTTTTCATATGAGGGATAAAAGGTAGATAATGATCCCGTGGAGACATGGGGGGTCTATTGTATTCCATTTCTCAGGGTGTTGTGTTTTTTTTAACGCCATGCTCTGAGCTCTGGCTTTAACTGATCAGCCGTGCCAGGCGCTGAGTGTTTCCACCGCCCCCCCCCACTTCAAGCAAGCTGCCCCGCCTGGGTTTTCCCTGCAGGAAGGCTTGGGGGGAGAGGCAGCAGGGGGTGGGTGGAGCTCCCAGTAGCCAGCCCATGCTCGGCTCCGCCACCCTCTCTGTCCAAGGACGGTGCTGCTCCCTTGAGTTTCGCTTGCCACCCAAGAAGCCGGGGACTGTCCCCACGGAAGCAGCCGTGGCTCGGTTCGGCTGGGATCTGGACCCCCTCCTTCCCTCCCTCCGTTTCCCTAACCCTTTGGTTTATTTTGCCGCTTCCTCCCGCTTGCTTAGGACGTGTTGAGTATTTTCTCTGTGAGCTTTGTATTGTTTTATTTATACAGATGTATTTTCCCTCCCTCTTCTCCACCTTCTGCCCCCTTTCCAAGTCCTGACTCCGAGTCCTTAACTACCCTCGACCGGTTAGTATTCCCTCTTCTTCCTCTGCACGAGCGGCTTCTGCCTGCCTGAGGATAACCGGCCCCAGGCGCTTCCGATTTCTCTTGGCTGCCGTTTTGTGCCTGCAAGGTGTCTACTCCGCCTCTTTCCCCCCCCCCCAAGGGCCTCGGGGGCTGCTTCCCGTCAGGGGTTCCCTGCATGGCGCAATTGGGGCGACAGCGGCAGAATAGCGGAGACCCCGAGAACCCAAGGGGTGTTTGGCCAAGGATCCCAGCTGCCTGCTTAAACCTCTTCCACCATCCTGGCCTCCCCTTTTCTGGGCGGGTGGCAAGGCTCAGCTTTCATAGGAATTCATGACCAGGATCCGAACCCAGGTTCCACCAGGGAATTGGGATTGTGCCACGTATGTTTCTCTAGCTTTTTTTAAAAGCTCTGTTCGTTCTGGGGAGGACTCCTCCCTGCCCCTGAACGGCATTGGATTCCTGTTAGAGGATGATGGTCCTCAAAACAGTGTTGCAGTGTGTTGACAGGCCCCCTGGGGGGGGGGAGCTACTGCAGAGGGAAGGCTGGAAAGCTTGGCTTTCTGGGGGAGGGTGTCAGCTCCCTTCACGTACATTCTTCTGGTCTCCGGGGCCTCGTTCAGCCTTTCTCTCTCCCTCTCCCCCGCTTGCAACCTGCAACCCTGCCTGGCCACACCTGGTCTACGGGGTCCCCCTGGTTTAAGCCCTGCAAAAAGCGGAATTTGTTTTGTGGTGGCCCTGTCTGTGGGTAGCATGCTTTGTGAAAAACTAGAGGCTGGGTCTCTGCCCCTAGGCGCTTGCAGATAGAGAAGGGCGAGAAGAGAAACCGGCAGGGAGAAAGGGGTAGATGGGAGGTTCATGAGTCTGGTCACGTATACCTGGGCTGATTTATGGAAGCGCTTGTCACCACTTCTGCTTGTGTGGACTGGCATCTCATTCGGCCCCGGAATGAGGATACCCGCTTGATGCATGCGCGCCTGGATCTCCCACTAAACAGGAGGACTGGCTGGAGCGAGAGCCCCTCTGCCCTTCAGCCGGGTCCCTAGCCTTTGAGAGGAAGAAATCAGACCGAGGTGGGCTTGTAACCCCAGCTCTGCACTTTGGCACGTGCCACCCGTGGCAGCTGAAGCCTCAAAAGCTGGAAAGAGTGACCCATGGTTCAAGGGGAAGGGCTGGCAGCCTCCTTTCTGGCCACCAGACTCCCCTGGGGGGTGTGGGGTTCTGGGAGCTGCCCTCCAGATACGGATGATGTGCTGCAGGCTCTCTTCTGAGACTGGCCGCCCCCTTGGGCAGAGAAATTAAGATCCAAAGCTTGGGTTTTATATGCAAAACTGGGACCGCTCCAGGCTGTTCCAGTCCTGGTTTCCAAGGGCCGCATCTCACCCAGCCGGCAACCGGATTGGCGGAGAAGTTGTTACCAGTGCTTTGGACTTGACTTTAATCGGGGGGGGGGGGGGGGGGGGGGGAGGGGGAGGGAGTCGGGTCGGAGACACGGTTTCTTCGGGAGCAGCAAACGGCTTATCCTCAAAGCCCTTCCGAGCCGCTCTGGCTTTCTCCCGCTCCCCCCCTCGCCCCATCCCACCCTCCAGGAAGACGTGTCCCATCGCCCCCTTGATCTTCCTCCCATGCGCGTCTCGGGGAGGAGAAGCTGGAGAGGCAGAGGGACAGGATGAATCCGGGCTGTCAACCCCATCCGAGTGATCCTTGCTGCAGGGGGTCTGTTAGGAAGCAGGCTGATCCTCGTTAGAAAGAGAGAGGGAGAGAGAAAGAGAGAGAAGGAAATCCGCCTTGCTCCTGCCTTTCAGCGTCGGATTTGCAGCAAACGGCCGCTAAGTTTCTCTGAGCACGCGCCAGGTTTAGCATTCGGGTCTGCGGCACAAAGAGTGAGATATGCCGGGTGCCCGTGGCAGTTTTGGTTTTTTTATCTTGCCTTGATTCCTTTCTTTTGGGGGGGGGGTTTGGAGGCAGGGGACTTGGCATCCGTTAGCGCTGTCTCTCTCTCTCTCTCTCTCTCTGAGCCATCCGTAGCTGTGGCGGGAGTGAGGAAGCCGCGTCTTAAGGAGCCTGCCTTTTCTGAATCCGGCTTTTTTCCCCTTCTGTTCTTTTTTCCCACCCGCCTGCCCTCCCTCCTTCCCTCCCCACCCTGACTCCATCCGCTCCAGGGTAGTCGTGAGTTCTTTAGAAGCTCTGGAAAGCTGCTTTGCTGTCGGACCCGTCAACGAGAAGGCAAGTAACTTTCCGTGAGGTTTCTGGGACATCTCGGGAGGCGGCCGGAGGCGGGGCAGGAGGCATGCGCTGCCTCATGGAGGCCCTTACGGAACCCGGATCTTGGAAGGAAAAGGATGTGTGGGGATTGGGCGGCTTTCCTTCCCAGAAAGCAGAGCAGTGCATATTGCCTTGGCTGGTCTGCCCAGGGCCAGCAGGGGGAGCCCTGCCTGCTGCAGAAGGAGCCTGGGGGCAGGGATTCTTCCTCCTCCTCCTCCTCCCCAGGCAGGAGGGGGAACAGGGCGAACTTTGCCCTCTCGCCCTCTGGCTCCGGCTGTCCACCTGGCATGCAAAGATGGGCAGGGCAGGGCTGGAGGGGGTGGTCTTCCCCCCCCCTTTCCATCCCCTTTTTTCCACTGCTGTTGCCTTTGACCCCCCCCCCGGCTCCTGGCTGGGCCCGAGGTGTTCCCAGAGGCCGGCCTGGCTCCCTCCCTCCCTCCCTCTCAAACCCTTTGTGCCCCTGACCTGCAGGAGAAGAGCAAGAGCGCCGCCCAGGAGCTGGCCACCATGCTCCTGTCCACTCCCGCCCCGGCCAGCGTCCAGCAGCAGACCAAGAGCCTCCTGGCGAGTCTCCACACCAGCCGCTCGGCCTATCACAACCACAAGGTGAAGGCTCTTTCTGGGTTGCCGCTCGGACTGAGTTCTCATGGCGCTTCGTGGCGGGCCGGGGCCGCTCTCCTGACCCCGAGGCGCTCTCGGGGCCACGCTTCCGGTGCACGCGCGTTCCTGACTTTCCCCCTTTTGACGCCTTGCAGGATCAGGCCTTGCTCAGCAAAGCCATTCAGTACCTGACCACCTCCAGCAAAGAAGGCAGAGACCTCGACCCGGAAGTGTTTCAGAGGCTGGTCATCACGGCCCGCTCCATTGCCATCATGAGGCCGAACAACCTGGTCCATTTCACCGAATCCAAGCTGCCTCAGTTGGAAGCAGGTGGGCAGAAAGCAGGCCTCTCCTGGAGGTCCTTCGCCCTCCCGGTTCGGCCTCTTCAGGACAGTTTTCAATGCTCTGTGAGATGTGGGGGAGATGCTGCTTGGAGACCCGTGACAACCAAGCAGCCGCAGCTCCTTAATCCTACGTGTTTTTTGGCGCTGAGGCCCCTCTGTGGGGTGACAAGCCCTTGGAGCTGTTTTACTCATCGAGAACCAGTCCCTGCCTTAAGGTTTGCAGTGTTCAAAAAGATGTGGCACAAGAGGAAAAGGGGAAGAGGAAGGCAGAGGAAAGTCCCGCACATCTTCTTCATATAGAGCATCCTTAGCCTGGCAAGGGAGGAGAAACTGAAGGAAGGGCAAAGCTCAGCGGGGGGTTTCCTGAGGGGGTTGATGGGATCCGGCTTCCTTTCCCTGCCTCTTTCTCGACCGGGGGATGGTGGTGGTGGAACGATTTCTGCTGCTCCGCTCTACTGTTGCTTACAGTTCCTCTCCTCAAACCTATTCCAGAAGCTGTCGAAGAAGGCCGGGAGGCCCAGAAAGCCCCCGAAGGCGAGGGGTACAGTTTTATTACTCAGCTGGTGAACCACTTCTGGAAGCTGCACGCCTCCAAGCCCAAGAACGCCTTCCTGGCCCCTGCTTGTTTGCCAGGTACCGGGCAGAGACAGGTCTTCTCCTGCTTTCCGGCCGGTTGAGGAGTCTGCAGGGCCCGGCAGGAGCCTCCTCCACTGCAGAGATTCGGGGCGGGCGGGCTGGGGACGGGCAATCGTGGAAGGAAGGCAGGCTTCTGCACCTCCCTGCCTGGCAATGTGATGGTTGGTGTAGAAGGGAGATCCTCTCCGAGGAAGGGCGAGCATCCTGCTCACTTGGAAGGCGAAGGGAATCGATCCTTCCGGTGAGGTTTGTAAGTCGCCTCTCGCAAGATGGGTGGGCGCTAAAAGGGACGGGCGTTCTGCCTAAAACCCACGTCCTTGTTACTGGCGCGGCCACAGTTTCTCTTCTCCTCTCTGTGCCTGAAGGCCTGACCCACGTCGAAGCGACCGTCAACGCCCTGGTGGACATCACCCACGGCTACTGCACCTGTGAGCTGGACTGCATCAACATGGCCTCTAAAATCTACATGCAGATGCTGCTCTGCCCGGTAGGTCGTTCCTCTGCTGGGGACTCGGCTCTAACCCCACCCTTCCAGCCATGGCTTTTGTTCACGGCAAGGCCGCGAGGCCCTCCGCTCGCTCTGGGAGCCATCCGGGGAACTCGCCACGTTGGCCCGTGGCAGGAAGAACAGTGAAAGCTCTCGTGACAAACCGCGGAAGCCTCTCTGGGGGGTGTCGGGGGCTCAACCCCACCGGCCGCTTCCATCTCGTCATACGACCCGGCTTCGCTCACTTCCCCTTTGCAGGATCCGGCCGTGAGCTTCTCCTGCAAGCAAGCCTTGATCCGGGTGCTGCGGCCCAGGAACAAGCGGAGGCACGTGACCCTGCCCTCTTCGCCTCGGAGTAACACCCCGATGGGTAAAAAGCGGCTCCTTTCCTTTCGTCTTCGCCTGCGGGCGCTGCCTGTGGACTGACGTCGGCCGCCCGGGATTGGAGGGGGGTGTTCCCGGGAGGAGCAGCCACATGGCCCTCCTCCCGCAGGACCTGCCGACACCACGTGTCCATGGCGGCTCTTCCCGCTAGGGATGGGTACAGGGGGTCTCCTCTTGTCCAAAAGGAACGGAATCAAAAGCCACGCCCGCTTCAAGCCTTGGCTGCTGCCTGATGTTGGGCACCCTCGACGTGGCTGACTTCCTTTTTTGTTGTTGTTGTTGTTCTTCATGCGGTCCCAGGAGATAAAGATGATTACGATGACGATGACGCGGATGACAAACTGCAAAGCTCCGGGATACCCAACGGCGAAGACATCCGTCCGGAAGGCCAAGAACAAAGCGAGGTGGACCACGGGGATTTCGAGCTGGTGGTGAGTCCCTCCCCCACCCGTTTCCTGCTAGGTCAGGTGATCCCCCACCTTGGCTCAGCCCTGGGGGTCTTGGTTACAACTCCCAGAGCCGGGATTCCTGGGAGTTGCCCTCCAAGAACCCCCCCCCCGGGTGAGCCACGGTGGGGGACCTCAGGCCTAGCAAGCCCCCCCATGCAGAAGAGCGTGGGAGGGGCTGGTTCGGTGGTTGTCTTTTCAGGTCACCTCAAGAGGAGATGGGCGATGCTTCTCAGGGGACGCCCGTGGAACTCGTCCTTCTCCACGGTGGCATCAAAAACAGACCCTCTTTCCGGTGTCTTGGGATTTCTGCCGCCTTCTTGACGGCTTGACTTCTTGTTCTGGCAATGCCCCTGTTCCTTTTCCCTTCCCAGTCGGAATCGATGGTGCTGGAGACGGCAGAGAACGTGACCAACGGCAACCCGTCTCCGCTTGAAGCTCTGCTGGCTGGAGCCGAAGGGTTCCCCCCGATGCTGGATATCCCCCCCGACGCAGACGACGAGACCATGGTCGAGCTGGCCATCGCCCTGAGCCTTCAGCAAGACCAGCAAGGTGAGAAACGCCGGTGGAGAAGAACTGTCTCTCCCTGCGTGATGAGGCTGAGTCGAGAATTGGGGAGTCCCGTTTCCCCCTTCCTGGGGTTGGCTTTCACCTCTTCCATAAACTTGCTGGAGACAGGGATAAATTAAATTTATAAGGAGGCGGGGAAGGCCATCTGTGACTGCTAGTCAGCTGGGGGTATATGCGACCTCCAGTCAGCAGAAGGGACAGCTCCCTGTTCTGTCCAGCGGCCTCAGGGTGTCTGTCCCGGGGAGAGTAGGAAGATTGAGCCCAGCCGTATTGAGAACCCACCTTTCTGGAAACGCCCCCGTCCCCACCGAGAGAGAGAGAAAGAGAGAGAGACGTGTGGCTTTTTTGTCCTCCGAGAGAGAGAGAGAGAGAGAGAGACACGTGTGGCTTTTTTGTCCTCTCGGTGCAGGGAGCAGCAGCAGCGCGCTCGGCCTGCAGAGCCTCGGCCTCTCCGGGCAAGCCCCCAGCTCTTCCTCCCTCGATGCCGGCACCCTCTCCGACACCACCGCGTCAGGTAACTGTTCACGACGTGGAACGCTGGTGGCCCGACGGGGGTTCATAGATGGGCGGCCCTGTTCCGAGGGTGCCACAGCTGGGTCGGACCGAGGATGGGGACCTTTTCACCGTCGGGATAGATCTTCCAAGTCCTTCTCCAAGTTCACCGACGCCTTTCCGCAAATCTGTGCCCCCTGTTTGAGGGACTGCACACCCCGCTGTCCCCGGTCTGGCATGCTGGGAAGGAAGAACGTTTCCTCCTTTTAAAAACCCTTGAGCGTCGGCCTTCCTGTTTGAGTGGTTCAGAGGCGGTGTTTTTACTTGTAACAGCTCTCGTTACTCCCTTAGCTCCAGCTTCCGACGATGAAGGCAGCACAGCCGCGACCGACGGCTCCACCTTACGGACCTCTCCGGCCGACCACGGGGGCAGCGTGGGCTCAGAGAGTGGCGGCAGCGCGGTGGATTCCGTGGCAGGCGAACACAGCGGTGAGGGCCCGAGTCGAGTTTGGTTTAGCCCCTGGGCCCAACTTTTTCTCTCCTCCCCAGAATACATGGAAGTTGGCGTTCCCATTCCTGTTTGCTCACCCCTTCCTTCCTTCTTTCCACTCAAGTGTCCGGCCGGAGCAGCGCCTATGGGGACACGACGGCCGAGGGCCACCCTGCGGGGCCTGGGAGCGTCAGCTCCAGCACGGGGGCCATCAGCACCACCACGGGGCAGCAGGAGGGCGAAGGATCGGAGGGCGAGGGCGAAGGGGAAGCAGAAGGGGATGTCCACGCAAGCAACAGGTGAGGCCCCAGGCGTGACTCCACCCCCTTGGCCTTGGCTCGAAGCCCCTCCACACACACACACCACGTCACGCCACGCCTGGGGTCTTCACGGTCTCCCTCCCTTGCCTTCCAGGCTGCACATGGTCCGCCTGATGCTCCTGGAGCGGCTCCTGCAGACCCTCCCCCAGCTGAGAAACGTGGGTGGGGTTCGCGCCATCCCCTACATGCAGGTGAGCGGCCCGGGACCTTCGCAGTCGCAGAGGCCTCGTGGCTCCGGAGCCTTTGCTGCCCCTGCGCCCGCCTGTGGGCGTTCACGGCCCCTTTCCTCTCCTTGAAACAGTGGAGCCAGCCGCGCAGGGCTGGGGTTCTTCCTGCGAAAGGGATGGAGGTTTACACGGAGCAGGGGAGAGGCTCCCGTGGGCTCTCTTTCCTTTGGGGTGACATCTGACGGAGCGGTTGTTTAAAGAGGGCCTGAATGTCAGGGCATGGCTGGGGGGGCAGCTGTCCAGCATGGGGGGGTCTCAGGTTGCGGTCAGAGGGTAGACGTTCTGCTCTACCACCCGAGTGATCTGTGGTCTTTCTCCTCCTCCTGCTGCTGCTGCCGTTTGGGGGGGCAGCTGTCCAGCATGGGGGGGGGTTTCTGAGGTTGCGGTCAGAGGGTAGACGTTCTGCCCTACCACCCGAGTGATCTGTGGTCCCTCCCCTCCTCCTCCTGCTGCTGCCACTGCCTGACATTGTGCCCTCCGTCCCTCCACCTCCCCAGGTGATTTTGATGCTCACGACAGACCTGGACGGTGAGGACGAGAAAGACAAAGGTGCCCTCGATAATCTCCTCGCCCAACTCATTGCAGAGCTGGGCATGGATAAGAAGGTATGGAGGCGCCCAGGTGGCCTCGCCCGATGGCTCTTCTCTCTGTCCTGGCCACCTGCGGTTGGGCCGGTTGGCGTTAAGGGAGGGCGGGGAGGGGGGAAGGCAGGGAATGGAGGACGTAAAGCCAGGGGACGGAATAGACTCAGGGAAGGCCTTTCCTCTCCTCCTCCCCCCCCCCAGGACGTGTCCAAGAAGAATGAGCGCACCCCCCTGAATGAAGTCCACCTGGTGATTATGAGGCTGCTGAGCGTCTTCATGTCCCGGACCAAGTCTGGATCCAAGTCATCCATTTGTGAGGTACAGGCTCTTTGGAGGGTTGCCCGAGGCCAGAGGTCTGTGGGGCGTCCCTTAAAACGGAGGAAGCGTCCTGGTGGCTTCTGTGGAGTGGGGGGAAAGGGGGCTGGGGACAAGCGAGCCCGCCATGTTACAGGGGGGCCCCTGCAGGGTAGCCGAGAGACCGGCAAGGGCTCGGGGAACCTGAGTTCAAATCCCTGCCTGGCCAGGGGAACTTCCTGCAGAACGCTGCTGCCAAAGCTAGGCCTTTGGAGTGTCTCACAGCACTGGAAAGCCCTCGTTAGGATTGCTGTAAATCAGGGACGCATTGACCGGATCTAACAGGAGCCATTCATTCAATTTGGTCTCCCAAGTTCCCGGCCGTGGAGTTCTCCCACTGTACCTTCCCCCGCCCGCCCCCCAGCACTGTCTCCGAGATGAGGAGGAAGTTCAGGCGTCCTCCTGTGCCGACATTATCCTTTAAAAAAAGTGGATGAAAGGCCATCGGGGAGGGTTCGGTTCCCCTCATCTCTCCCGGAGGCCAATGAGGGCAAGGCGAAAGCCATCTTCCCCCCACCCCCACCCCCCATGGTCCCTGCTTGTGACTCTCTTAGGTGCGCAGAGTCCATCTACCGACCCCAATCCTTGGAGAAGTTTTCTTGGCTGACTCAAATGGCGGGGCTGGTTAAATTTCTCTAGCCCTTCAGAAACACACACACACACGCACACCCTTGCACAAAGGGGGTTATAAAGCTGGGGTGTGCATTGCGGGGGACAGAGAGAGAGAGAGAGGGTGGGGATTTGTGGATGTGATTAGGGGGGGAATGAGCGACGCTTCTGCTGCCTTGACGTTTCAAAGTCGCTAAGAGGATTCCCTCGCTGTTTTTTGTTGCTAAAAGGTGCAGTAATAAGTCTTTAAAAAAATAAATAAGAGGGAGCCGGGAAAGGCGCCCTAGCAAAGGAAGAAGATTAATAACAAAGGCGCAGAGGTTAAAAAATGGAGACTGAAGTGCGTCGAATTTTAATGAGCTTATGAGCTGTGGGGTTTGTTTGGATTTATTGGGAGTTTCTGTAATGGTTTTATTTACACTTGTGTTTTCACCCGCCTTTTTGTGTGCGTGTGTGGTGGTGGTGTTCATCTGCCCGACAAACGAAGGTGGGCTCAAAAAGATAGCAGACTGTCGAAGTTCATCAGAAAGCACTCAGGTGCAGGAAAAGTTCTCTTCTGCATCCGAGGGAACCTTTCTTGTTGGTAATGGCCTCCCCGCTTCCCTTGTGCGGGCTGGCTGGCTGAGATCCAGAGAAATGAATTGAAATTTCAACTTTTTTTAAATGGGGGGGAGGAATGGAACAGGGTGAAGACTCTCGCTCCTCCTGCTAATCCTCAGCTTAGTTGCCCAGTGGCATGTGTGTCGAGGGGAGATTAGACTTAAGAACTGGTTGGGGTTTTGTCTTCTTCTCCTTCCTCCACCCCCCCCACCCCTCCAAAAAAAAACACCCTTTAACTAAAGTGCTGGTTCAAAAGAGTCTCTCGGTAAACACAATTTCAGCGGGTGCTCTATTTTAAAAAAAAAAAGCCAGAAAACCAGAGGCAGGAGATAAATCGCCCGCGCCACCCCCGCCCTCCCCGTGCGGAATTAGGCTGTCAGCTTCCTCAGCTGAAACGACTTGGCTGGCGGCCGGGTGGTTTTGAGTCCCATCCCTGAACCTTAAAGCCATCCAGATAAGTTCTGCGGGAGGGAGGCCTAGGCCGGTCTTCAAAGAAGTGTTGGGCCCACTGCTTCCTCCCACTTTTTTCCCCCATGGTTCTCACGTGACGTGGAAGGTGACGGGGCGTCCTTTGGGGCAGAGGGTGGTGGCCGGCGGGGTGTGTGTGTCACAGGGTGGAGGCTGGGAGGCGGCAGGGGCCGTCTTTGGTAGGAGCTTGAGCCGTGCCCTTCGGTCAGAGGGGATGCCGCCCCGCTTGCCTTGGCCCCCTTCCATGGGCCGGCTGCCCTCAGGAGGGGCAGAGGGCCTTATCCTGATGCGAGATCACTTCCCCTGCCTCCAAAAACCGATGCGGGCTGTGGCTGTTCCTGATTACTTAGGGCAGCCGAGGCCTGGTGGGTCAGTCAGGACGGGGCATCCGGGTGGCCCTCCCTCAATATGTCTGGGTACCATGGCCGGCTGCCACCGCTTCTTCAGCCCAGACCCCGGCCTTCCCGTTGGAAACCCTCCTGGTCTCTCGGATTGACACCTCCATCATTCTCCCTCTTTTAAAACCTCCTCCAGACTTCGCCCAGTCGCTGAACCCACAGGGTCTCGCTGGGGTCTCTGAGCCCCGTCCAAGAAAAGACAGGGTTGCCACTAAATCAGTGTGGCCACTCTCTCTCTCTTTTTCTCTCTCTCTGTGTGTCCCCTCCCTCCAGTCATCCTCCCTCATCTCCGGCGCCACCGCGGCCGCTCTCCTCAGCTCCGGCGCGGTGGACTACTGCCTGCACGTCTTGAAATCCCTCCTGGAGTACTGGAAAGGCCAGCAGAATGACGAGGAGCCTGTCGCCAGCAGCCAGCTGCTGAAACCTCACACCACCTCCTCCCCGCCGGACATGAGCCCCTTCTTCCTGCGCCAGTATGTCAAGGTGAGTTCCGCTTCGGGGGGCGGCCGGACGTCATCGCCATGCATTTTCCTGCAACGGGGCCGGAGAGTCGTCCAGTTGTAACTTGTAAATGCCATTAAAGGTTTCAGAACAGAGTCATCCAGTTCCCCCATCGCTGGGCTGGGCTCAGTTAATGTCTGTACTAGGAGAACCTTTGGCTCCCATTGATCCTTCACATGAATTGCATCTGGACGGGGCAGGAAGGACAGTGAACATTGGGGGACAAACTGTAGGAGAGCCGGACGTTGATCCTGGCCCCATCAGCCCACATTCCCCCCTCTTTTGGCCTTTCTTGTGACCGTTCTTGTTTAAAACCCTGCTCGTGGCACCTCTCGTGTCTGCCTCCTTCTCCAAAGTGGCCTTAAAGGGAGGCCGAGAAGGGCCTGGCGCCCATGTCGGGGTCACGCTTTGGGAAGGGCGGCGGGCAGCTTTGCACAGCAGGGGTCACACCAGAAACTGACCTAGACAGAGGGCACCCAATCCGGAGGCTTTGGCCCGTCGGGTGAAAGAGGCAGATGCTGCCAGGTGGCGGCCGCCACGACTCACCTTCCGTCTCCTGCTGCTCAGCCCCTCTCCAGCCGCCCTTTCCCTCCCGGGCCAGGCAGGGCTGGCTTCTAAGAGGCCGAGGACACCCTTAAAGGCTGCCCTCTCGACACCAGGGGAGCAACAACAACAACCCTGCATGCCTTCCAGTGGGCGAGCGGAGAGGGCTTGCCTGGCGCCATTCCTTGGCTGCTCCAGCCGCTTCGGCGCCTCTTTTATCCTCCGCGCCTGGTGTGGCAGCTTTGATTTGATGTGCTGCCCGTTTGCAATACAATACAATAAGCCGAATTAAGCATTAGGGTGCTCCCTACAAGGGAAGAATGGAAACCGGCTGAAATTCTGAAGGCCTGGGGGGGGGGTTGCCTGTTGCCATTTTAAGCTTCTGCCTTTTGTTCCCTTCCCTTGAAAAGGGCCCTGCTGTTTTCACATTACTCTTGTCAGTCAAAAGGTTTGGGGGCTTTTTAAAATTATGATTTGGTATTTCGCTTCCTTGCTCAGCCACAGAAAAGGGGTGGCTTGAAAGGTTGATGGAGGTGAAGAACCTAGCGAGAGGCAAATAAGCCCATTTATTGCCTACTTACACCATGCGACTCTCGGTTTAAGAGTCCCCGCTTTGCAGGGATGGGGAATGGGTGAAGCTAAAATAAATGTAGAAGGGGTGAAGATAGCGAAATAAGTAGACAGATATATTAGATTTTCCACTGGGCCTTCTTGACAGGGGCTAGCCTCGATGATCCAGAGGGTCCCTCCCAGTTCTGCCGTTCTAAGATTAAGCTAAGATTATTATTATGTTGTTGTTTGTAACTTTATATGTGCAAAGAAGCGCAGGTTACTAAAGCTGGGTAATTTTCATCCTATTCTTTTTTTTTCCTTTTTAAAAGAGCGACGTGTACGTTGCGAGAGAAGCAGGGCTTGTAACACAGAGAGGTTTAAACCGGCCAGGCAGAACTCCTGTTAACGGATCAGGAACATGGGTAGTTCAGGGATCCAGACCCAGTTAGCCTTTTCCCTCCTCCTGTCGTTACATTTGGTCTTGACTTTGAGAGTCAAAAACTTTTGGGGGGATCTACACGTTGATCCCAGTTGCAGCTCAGAGAACTTTTTTAAAACTACGCATCCCAGAATCCCCTGGCCTGGTGGCCTTGCCAAGGTCAATTATCCCAGGGGCTGCATCCAGAAAAGAATATAGATTTTTTTCCCTCCAGACTCTGATCTCCACCCAACTTCTTCCTGCTGGGTCACCACAGAGGACAGGCTTTGTGACAGGAGAGGCCCGGGTTTGTATCCCAGCATCTGCCCAGTTTGACGTTCTTCTGTCTTTCTGGGCCAGGATGGGCCCCTGGGAGTCATTAGGGATTAGAAGGGGAGACGGCGCTTTCCGAGGTGGGCTGACGTGGCCTCAGAGGTCTTCCTTCGCTCGCTCCCTCCCTCCCTTCCTTCTCGGGCATGACACCTCTTTTTCCTCCTCCTCCTCCTCCCGCCTGCAGGGCCACGCGGCCGACGTCTTTGAGGCCTACACCCAGCTCCTGACTGAGATGGTGCTCCGGCTGCCCTACCAGATCAAGAAGATCGCCGACACCAACACCCGCATCCCGCCCCCGGTCTTTGACCACTCCTGGTTCTACTTCCTCTCTGAGGTGGGTTTGCGCCCGGGTGGAGGGGGCGGGTCGAAGGTCACCATCCCTCGGGTCGGCTTCTCTGGTCCTGAGTTCTCTGGATGCCAAACTTGAAATGGCCGGAAGGCTTCTTCAGTAGAGTAGTATCTCCCGCTTCTCCTCCGCAGCGAAGACTCGCCTTTCTTCATCAGAAAATGATACGTGACTGCTCCAGGAGCTCTCAGGGGAAACCGATTCACCTTTTAAATGAATAGATTTCCTCACCCACGCACCCACCCACCCCCTGATGCCCAGTTTTCAAAACCCCAGAGGACTTGTGGTCCTATTTCCTGCCCCTTTTCCTTTGTCAAATGTCATCTCTGCCGTTTGGGGTGCCATCTGTGTCTCCTCTGAGCGGAGACACGGGGAGGGGGGAGAATCTCCTCCTTCGTGTGGATGAAGCTTGCCTGTTGTGAACCTCCTCGGGTCCTTTTTAAGGAGAGACATATTTCAGGGAACCTGAGGGGCCAAGAAGGGGCATCGGGGTCTGCCTGCTGACGCCCATCTCCCTCTCTTCCTCTGCCCCCCCTCCTTCCATCTCCCGGTGCAGTACCTGATGATCCAGCAGACGCCCTTCGTGCGGCGCCAGGTGCGGAAGCTGCTGCTCTTCATCTGTGGCTCCAAGGAGAAGTACCGCCAGCTGCGCGACCTGCACACCCTCGACGCCCACGTCCGGGGGATCAAGAAGCTGCTGGAGGAACAGGGGATCTTCCTGCGGGCCAGCGTGGTCACGGCCAGTTCTGGCTCCGCCCTGCAGTACGACACCCTCATCAGCTTGGTAAGCGCATCCGTCTGTGTCTCTTGTGCATGTCTGCATTTTTCTTTCGTCGTGCCTCGAGGCAGTTTCCTGGGTGCCTCTCTCGCTGGCCTGAACACCTCCGTGGTGTTGGAGGAGGCCTGAAGCTGGACCGGACTCGCGGCCCCTCTCGCCCGATGTCCTCTACCCCAGCGGGAACCCCCACAGGGTGGAACCCCCCACAGGGTGGAACCCATACGACTGAGCAGCGTTGTCATGGTCTGTGTTCTCCAGCCATGGAGGCGCAGAGGTTTCCTGCCTCCAGGAGCGGAGGAAGGGTGCCTTTACGAGTAGCCACGGAGAGCCCCGTTTGGGGGGGGGTGTCACCTTTGGGGGTTTCTGGGGCCAAGGGGTGTCCTCCGGTCTCAGCGGCTTGTCCACTGCTTTGCTGGAAAGGTCAGCCTGGCTTCCTGCTCTGCCTTTCAGATGGAGCACTTGAAGGCTTGCGCAGAAATCGCCACCCAGCGGACAGTGAACTGGCAGAAATTCTGCATTAAAGATGACTGTAAGTCCCTTCCCTGGGGAAGCTGGGAAGGCAGAGGGGGAAGACCTAGAAACTGGCGGTGTGTGGGAGTGCGCAGGATCCGGCCCGTCCTTGGGTCAGGCGGTGTTGCCGTTGCCCTTTTCGAAAGAGGCACAAAGGGGCGCACACACACCCACGCCTCACCTGGCCTGAAGGACTGGCATGCTCAGAGCGGCTCCCCTTCCTCTCGCCCCCCTCCAGCCGTGCTTTACTTCCTCCTGCAAGTCAGCTTCCTGGTGGACGAAGGGGTCTCGCCCGTCCTCTTGCAGCTGCTCTCCTGCGCCCTGTGCGGCAGCAAGGTCCTCTCGGCCGGGTCCTCTTCTGGGTCATCCGGCCCCTCGGCCGCTGCCCCCGCAGGCCCCGGGACAGGCCAGCCCTCCGGGCAGAGCAAGTCCTCCACCAAGAAGACCAAGAAGGAGGAGAAGGAGAAAGACCGAGAAGGTGAGCCGCATCTCGTCATGGCCCCAACAGCGATGGGCCGGGGCTGGTTCCCTCCCTCGGGCAGGAAACGTTTCCACCCAGAACGAGCCTGGGCGAGCCGCCTGCCCACCACTGAGTCTCAGCCGCACTCGGGTCGGCCTCTGAGTGTGTGTGCAAGGGGCAGCTCCCACATCGAGGCAGCCCTCAGGGGTCGTTGAGAGGGGGTTGACAGCCGTGGCTGTTCCTTTCCTGCCAGGCCACGAACGGGGGACTCTTTGGCCTTCCGTCTCCACGGCTTAGCCCTCGGTCTGCCTCTTTCCCTGTCCGCCCCAGGCGAGGCCTCCTCTGGCAGCCAGGAGGACCAGCTGTGCACGGCCCTGGTGAACCAGCTGAACAAGTTCGCCGACAGAGAGACCCTCGTCCAGTTCCTGCGCTGCTTCCTGCTGGAGTCCAACGCCTCGTCGGTCCGGTGGCAGGCCCACTGCCTTACCCTCCACATCTACCGGTGAGCCCCAGAGGTCTCTCCGCTCTGCTTGGCTTTGGGGGGGTGGGAGAGCCTGAAACTCCCCCTTCTGGGTGACAAGGCCTCCGATCCAGAGGTGGCTGCAAAGGGCTTGGGTGAAAATGAAAACAGCCTCTCCTGCCCGATGGGTTGGAAACGACGGGTTCATCTAGGAGGAGGGGGCACCTTCTAGTCCCCACCTTGGGTCACCCAGAGGGTATTCTTGGACTACAATGCCCAGAAGCCTTTGCCACCCGCTGCGGCGGTTGGGATTGCTGGGTGACCCAAAGTGGGGAAGCCAGGCTTCTTGATGGCTCGAGATGCGTTCCACCTGTTGTGGGGCCACTGCCGGGTTGGGTGTGGGGCTTCTTCATAACCTGGGACCCAGTCGGAAAGGATGAGTCGCAGGAGAGAGAGAGAGAGAGAGAGAGAGAGAGGGAGAGAGAGGCCCTCCCATGGAAAACAGGAAAAGAAGAGCAGCCACGGAGATGGCTGAAGACTTAACCATTGTGGGGCGGACCCTGTCTGTTAATTAACCCCCCCCCCATGCCTTCTTTCTGATCCTTTTCCGATTAGGAACTCAAACAAATCCCAGCAGGAACTTCTCCTGGACCTGATGTGGTCCATCTGGCCAGAACTCCCGGCTTATGGGCGGAAAGCGGCTCAGTTTGTCGACCTGCTGGGCTACTTCTCTCTGAAAACTCAGCAGACGGAGAAGAAGGTAGGGCTGGGGCGGGCGCCGTCTCCTTACGCTTTTTCTCTTCTCAAGGATAAGGCTGTGATGGAAGAGGATGGAAGAAGGCACAAGGCCCCGGATGTAGGAAGAGGTGGAAGCCTATGTATGTGTGTGTGTGTGGGGGACTTGGGCCATCCCGGCCGTCCCCTGGAGAGGGTCCCAAGGTCTATGGCATTTTAAGCCAGGTGCCTGGGGAGGCGGGTCAGGAGAGAACGAGAGGGACTTTGTCAGGAATGGATGCGTTTTAAAAACTGTGAGAAAAGGCCCAGCCTTGTGTACACAAGACACAACCGTGTGGACTCTCTTTCAGCTCAAGGAGTATTCCCAGAAGGCGGTGGAGATCCTCCGGATGCAAAATCACATCCTTACCAACCATCCGAACTCCAACATTTACAAGTAAGTGCTCCGGCCTCTTCTTCAGCCCCCGAGACCCCAGGGCTGGCTGTCTTCGGGGCCGAGATGTGCCCGAAAGGAGAGCCCCTGCTTTTGCCCAGGGTTGGGCAGGGCGGGCTTGGCGCTGGACAGCCCAAATCAACCCCTCCCCTTTGGCATGTGTGGCCTTGGGAAGGCTTTCACCCAAGCTGTTTGGCTTTGCTTGGTGCTATGAGGTGGGAGCCCATTGTGGCAGGCGTCATGTCCAAGACATGAAGACCGTGCTTTTGAGTCTGCCTGGGATCTGGGAGAGGGGGGCTGCCCTTGTTGGAAACTGGGTGTGGGGCTAGACCAAGCCTACAAAAGGTGCATCTTGGGGGGCCCTGACTTTGCCTGGCTGCTCTTCCCCTTCCGCCTCCAGCACCCTCTCTGGATTGGTGGAATTTGACGGCTACTACTTGGAGAGCGACCCCTGCCTCGTCTGCAACAACCCCGAGGTGGCTTTCTGTGTGAGTATTGACTCCTTCCCTCAACCCCCCCACCCCAGATTTATACCCTCCCACTTCCTGCCTCAGCTACAACGTTCAACATGCCCTGGCAGCCGCCCGCGGTCACAAACATTGAGCGAACCGCCATAGGGCCAACCAATGAGAGAGGAAGGCTGTCTTTGGCTGAAGCGAGAAGGGCTGACTTTCATTCTGACGTAGGGAGATTGGCTGAATCAATGGGGTTCATGTATGTGTTCCTTAAACCTCCGTTGATTTGAAGAGGCTCAGTTAAGTTGGGACCGGCGGTTGAATCGGACCGAGCTGTAAAACAGCATGAAGTGCTTCTTGGTAGACGCAAGCAGTAGACTTGATAAATTTTTTTTTTTAAAAAGAAAGATGGATTGGCTGTCAGCCGAAGGAAGGCTTAGATGCCTAATTGAGTAGCAAGAGGGTTGAGCTTCCGAGGGTTAAGGACCCGCCTCTGCCCCAAAGGTTCCCGAGTCCCTTTTCCAAGCGCTTGCCGGGAAAAGTTCTCCCCAGGAAGGAAGCGGTGGCGATCTCCCGATCTTGATCCCATTTCACAGTATTGATGCTGTGTACCCTGCTGTGTCCAGCACATGGTGTTCACTCTGGTTTTTTTTCCTGTTTTTTTTTGGGGGGGGGTTCAGTACATCAAGCTGTCCTCCATCAAGGTGGACACCAGGTACACCACCACCCAGCAGGTGGTCAAGCTGATCGGCAGCCACACCATCAGCAAAGTGACCGTCAAGATCGGGGACCTCAAGCGCACCAAGATGGTCCGGACCATCAACCTCTACTACAACAACCGAACCGTGCAGGCCATTGTGGAGTTGAAGAACAAGTAAGGGGGGGGATGAGTGGTGTGTGTGTGTGTGTGCCGCTGCAGACTCCTGTTCTCTTTCCTCTGAGTTTAAAAGGAGCAAACACATTTTCGATCTGACATTTTTCTAGCACTTAAGCTGGGTACGTCCTGCGTCGTGGTGGCTCCGCGCTATGTTTCCCCAATAGGGCTTCCTCTGGACACACTGGTACTACGACTCCCATCATGGCCTGGGGGTGGGGCATCTTGAACTGTTTATATGAGCAGGGTTTTGTGAGTGCTTTTCCCGTCTCCCACAGCCATTTATAGACCTTTCTTCCCAAATGGGCATGGCAGGGATCCTGTGAACCCCAGAGGCTGCTTTGGCGACAGCACCCATCATCCTTAGCCTGCCTAGCCAGCGATGAGGGTGCATCTGGAGCCTGGGGTCTGGCTGTTTGTCTAGCTGGGCTATGTAATACCAAAAACCAAAATTCCCCCGTTGAGGGGGGGAGCATTCTTTCTGGGAGGGAGGGACAAAACCCTAAGATCTCACAGAAACACCCTAGAAAGGTGAGGGGTGGGAGGGGAGTCTGAAAAATCAAAAGAGTTTTTTTTAATAACAAAAGAGGTGAGTTGAATGGAACGTTAGATCTTTCTTCCCATGAGACACAGGCCGCTCTTTTAATCCCAAACGGCATTGTGGCGGGAGGGATTGTGGCTTAAAATCTCTCTCCCTTTGCGTCCCATCGTCACAGAAACACCCTAGAAAGGTGAGGGGTGGGAGGGGAGTCTGAAAAATCAAAAGAGTTTTTTTTAATAACAAAAGAGGTGAGTTGAATGGAACGTTAGATCTTTCTTCCCATGAGACACAGGCCGCTCTTTTAATCCCAAACGGCATTGTGGCGGGAGGGATTGTGGCTTAAAATCTCTCTCCCTTTGCGTCCCATCGTGTTGCTGCCGAAGCAGAAGGAAAGGATCTGAGGATCCGTTTAAGGGAGATTTGAACACGGAGGCATGCTGTCTCGGCCTCCCTCTTGACACCCGTTTTGCTTCTTGGTTTCCCCCCGCC